GCACTGGGTGTTTGCGGCTTGGGTATCCCGTATCTCTCCCCTTGCCAAAAAGCACTCTCTCTTGTTTTCCAAGTCCCCAGAGGTCGTTACTTTTGTTTGAATAAACCCGGCGTAAACTAAGGTTGTTTTGGCCAGCCTGACCTTCCCTGTATTTATTTCTCTTGTGAGAAATAGCTATAGGATGTGCGACTGTTGTATTTTAGTCTGCACATTCGTGGCGGGCGGCCCAGAACGAAGCACATGCGGTCCGGGGCGGGGTGGGGGGGAGAGGATGAGGCCGATCCGCATCCAGCCATCCAGAAAGGTCGATGCTAAGCTGCTTGGTCGGCTGACTGCAGCACGTATCAGAAACGGGAAGGATCTGAGTACGGAGAGCTCCGGCGAAGGTTTTCTTTTGACTGGTTGGAAGCTCTCCTGTCCTAAGCCTTAATCCAAGGGTGTCAAACAAGTGCCCCGGGGGCCGGACGAGACCCCCGGAGGGCTTCCATCAGGCCCGCAGTGGAACTGGCTGTCTTCTGCCGCTTCTTCCAGTTCCGCTGCTGCTGCTGTGTCATTGTAGGTTTGCAGCTTACAGTTACACACCTGAACAGCACACTCAAGATTGCGACAGCACAGACATTTTGATGCCATCATTCAGAGCAAGAGGTGTCAGCTATCAAACACTGTTAAATAAACAAAACATTGCAAGAGTGCTAATGCTTTAAGCATGTTTTTACTTTAAGTTAAGAAAACCCGTTTTTGTCCTTTATAAAGTTTATATCGCCGCTCCCTGGCATGACATTTCATGACACGCGTGCAAGCTACCTCTTGGCTGCCATAACAATCAGGGAGCAAAAGTCTAGCTTTTCTGTGTGATGCTTGATGGTTTTTATAATTGAAATTCTCTGTGAATTGGCCATGTTGTACCTTTTTTCTTTTTATGCCAATAAAGGTATTTGGATTGGTTTGGATTGCTGCCAGTCTGAGTAGACAGTACTGACCTTGATAGAACAATGGTCAGATTCAGTATGAGGCAAGGGGCCGTGGCTCAGTGGCAGAGCCTCTGCTTGGCATGTAGAAGGTCCCAGGTTCAATCCCCGGCATCCCCAGTTAAAAAGGACCAGGCAGTAGGTGATGTGAAAGGCCTCAGCCTGAGACCCTGGAGAGCCATGGAGAGGGGCTGTGGCTCAGTGGCAGAGCCTCTGCTTGACGTGCAGAAGGTCCCAGGTTCAATCCCTGGCATCCCCAGTTAAAAAGGACCAGGCAGTAGGTGATGTGAAAGGCCATGGAGAGGGGCTGTGGCTCAGTGGCAGAGCCTCTGCTTGACGTGCAGAAGGTCCCAGGCGCCATCAGGAGGTCCACCAGCAGGGCCAGACCTCCAGAATCCCTCCCACTGTTGCCCCCCAAGCGACTTTGAGGTCCCCTGTTGAATGTCTTGGAATGCTGAAGTGTTCTCCTACAGGTTTCTCAGTGTTGTGATTCTTAATGTCAGATTTGTGTCCGTTTCTCCTTTGGCGTAGAGACCCTGGTGCCTTGAGCTCCCGTCTCTGGCCCCAGCTCCTGCCAACCTAGCAGTTTGAGAGCAAGAAATTGCAAGTAGATAAATAGGTACCAGTTCAGTGGGAAGGTAACAGTGTTCTGTGTGCCTCAGCATTCGGTCATACTGGCCACATGACCACGGAAAAGTCTTCAGGCAGCGCTGACTCTTTGGCTTGGAAACGGAGATGAGCACCGCCCCCTAGAGTCGGATTCGACTGGCTTTCGGAGCAAGGGAAACCTTTACCTTTACCTTCGACCTGTTTGCCCTATGTCTGCTATGTCCCTATTAGACTTCCGTGCAATTAGTATTAAAAACATTTGAGAATATAGCTTTATTTATGGAACGTTGAGATTTTGCCCACGGATATGAATTTCCTGTCCTTTTTACAATGAAAAAATCAAGACATCACTGCTACCTTTTAAAATATACCCATCCATGCAAATAGTATATAATTGTCCACCATGATATCTGTAAGTCGAATGGGGTCAGAGTTGGGCTAGCTTCCAAGCCCCCCACAGTTTGTCAGGGGAATTATTGCGATATTTTGGTGGAATCTGACAGTGATTTCTTGACGTTTGGTTAATAGCAGCGCCTGCTCCTTCGACGTAAACAAGAATTGATTGTGGAACCAAATCAGATGCAATTATTCTGTGGAATAGCTGGAACAGATTTGAAAGGTTGCTTTCTTAAAGGGCAATCATCTCGTGGCGAGGGGTGGGGAGGAATCGCCTCGCATTTATGCCGCGTATGTATTTGGCATTCATCAACCTGTTTTCTCAAATTACTTTGCTTCCCTCAAATTCAGGCTTATGTCTGGAGATGGTTTGAACAAGTCATGCGAGAACTGCCGATCGCTAGATCGCTTGCCTGTCTTTTCTGTTTTTTTATAAAATACTTTTTTTTAATTCTACGAGAAACAGACAGACATACAGACGTACAAATATATAATCGGGTGAAATTTGCATCCACACTATATCCGGTTATTAACCTCACACATCAACCAGTTATCCTTACTTTTCGACACCTTATAATGTTCACATAAAAATCTTTGCATACACTAAAGCATGTAATTCATTGTTCTTCTATTTCGGTGATATGCCCGTAAAGATCAGTTACTATTTCAGGGCTCTTTTTGTAGAAAAAGCCCAGCAGGAACTCATTAGCATAATAGGCCACACCCAACAGGAGAAACTCATTAGCATATTAGGCCACACCCCTGCCAGCACAGCTCATTAGCACATTAGACCACACACCCCATGTTACCAGAAGTGTGGTTATACAGCCACACCCACCTTTCCCTTCTTATTCTGTTTACCTTGTTTGTTGTCAAAACCCAGGGCCTTTTTTTGTAGCAGGGACTCCTTTGCATGTTAGGCCACACACCCCTTAATGTAGCCAATCCTAATGAGTTTCTGCTGTTGGGTGTGGCCTATTATGCTAATGAGTTCCTGCTGGGCGTGGCCAACTCAGGAGCCAGCCGGAACTCCGTTCCTGTGCGTTCCTGCCCAAAAATAGCCCTGATTTTCTTCAATCCATTTATAAAATGCGGACCATGTATTTTCCAAAGCTGTTCCATTTTGTTCTCTCAAAATTGAAGTTAAATGGTCCATCTCTGCGGTTTCAAAAATTTTGTTTATAACTTCTTCTTTCGTAGGGGTTTTGTTTCTTCTCCAGTCTTTATCATAGAGTATTCTTGCAGTGGTTACAACATGTATAATAAGATATCAATCTTGCTTTTTATACATTTCCAGTACAGTATTCAGTAAAAAACATTTCAGGCATAGACGATACAGTATTTGTTAACGATTTTTTGTAATGTTTCATGGATCCAAGACCAGTATTTTTTAGCTTTATCACATGTCTACCACATATGAAAGAAAAAAACAACATTTTTTTTTTACATTTCCAACATTCGTTTGGTAATTCAGGGTACATTTTTGCTAATTTATCAGGGGTCATATACCATCTATAAAATCTTGGTTAAATGCTCATCTTTATTGTAGCTGTCCTCCCCATCAAAGATTTGCAGGTCTTTCCTTGTTTTTTAAAATTTCTAATATAAGTTTGCTCGCCTGTCTTTTCTCGATATAGCCATGAGGATGTGTAGCACTTCTTCCCAAGAAGTTGGTCATACAAACCACCTGAGAGTTTTGGGGGGTTGTTGGTCACTGATTTCTCCAAACCAATTGACTTCAGCCATGCTGATGGGCAAGGAATAGATAGATAGATAGATAGATAGATAGATAGATAACCTTTATTGGCATGTGAACAATAAAAGTACATTAATTTTTTTTTTAAGTGCATCGATCGTAAGGCCAACCAAAATGAAACAGATCAGTTAAAAGCTTCCCTGGATCGAATTGCAGACTGGAGAAAACAGGCGACATTAGAGGTTATGAGAAAGTTGTAACCGGAAAGTAACCGCTGGGCCTTGACACTGTCCGGAAGGCCACACCAAGTACAGAGAAGGGAGTTCAAAAATTTTTCTCGGATCTTATTGTATAATGGACAATTTAATAGAACATGGGAAACAGATTCAATAGCACCCAGGCTACAGGGGCATCGTCTAAATTCATAGAGGAGGGCAAAGAAGAAATGTTAGCCAACTCTCATTCCCCCGCCACTGCCACTGGAGGAGGGGTCATGGCTCAGGTACAAGCTCTCCTTCCTCTGTGAAGGCAGATCTGCACGTCCCCCCCACCCATAGCTAGCAATCCAAAACAGTCCAGTGGCACCTTTAAGACCAAGTTTTATTCAGGTACAAGCTCTCCCTCCTCTGTGAGGACAGATCTGCACGTCCCCCCCCCCATAGCTAGCAATCCAGAACAGTCCAGTGGAGCCTGAGCGGTGGGTGTTGCCTTCTGACACACTTCCGGTGATGTCAGGGGGTGTGGCATATGCAAATAAGTTACGCGAATGAGCTCCTGCACCTCTTCTTCTACGAAACGACCCCTGGTAATACGTGCAAAAGTTTAAATCAACCTGATAAGGTGTAGAAATTTACCTTTGTTCAGAGAGATAAATTTAAGAGGTACTTAACGGATAGACTCTCTCATTGTTTGTTTTTGTGTGTCGTTGTCCTTGGTTTGTTTGCTTGTTTGTTGTTACAAAATAAAACCTGGTCAGATCTCGGAAGCTAAACGGGTATGTGGATGGGAGACGGCTAAGGAAGTTCCAGGGTTGCTGCGCGCTGGCAGATAACGGCGAACCACCTCCTTGCGTCTCCTGCCTTGAAAACCTGCACGATCTCCATTAGTCAGTTTCAACTTGGCGGCGGCGGGGGGGGGGGAGCCACCCTACTCGATATGGGGATACGATGGGGTGAACCCCATGTATGCCTGGCTGCGTTCCTGGAAGACAGGGTGAGGGCCAATAACGATAAAAAGTTTGATTCTGATTAAGGACTGAAGACAGTGTACTGGTATTCCCCTGGTTTTAGTTTCAGGAAGGCCAGCTGTACCTGGTAAGGAGAGCTTATCAGAGCTCATCAGAGAGCCAGTTTGGTGCAGTGGGTAAGTTTGCGGACTGTCATCTGGGAGAACCGGGGTTGATTCCCCACTCCGCCACTTGCAGCTGCTGGATGACCTTGGGCAAGCCATAGTTCTGTCAGAGCTGTTCTCTCAAGGACAGTCTTGGAAAGAGCTCTCTCGGCCCCACCTACCTCACAGGGTGTCTGTTGTGGGGAGGGGAAGGGAAAGGAGTTTGTAAGCCACTCTGAGTGAAAGGCAGGGTATTAATCCAATCTCTTCTTCTCTTCTTCTTTGATTCTTGAAAGCATATACCCCCAAAAACTCGTTGGTCTCTCAAGCAGTAGAAAAGAGCATGAGTCCATTACTGTGAGCTTTCGTGAGTCACTGTTCACTTCTTCAGGTATCTGAAGAAGTGAGCTGTGACTCACAAAAGCTCCTCCCCTGCCACCAATTTGGTTAGTCTTGAAGGTGCTCCTGGACTCTTGCTCTTTTCTACTGCTACAGACAGACTAACACGGCTCCCCATCTTGATCTGGTCTCTCAAGTGTTCCTGGGCTGAACCTAGCTGTTTCTGAGCATTGTTGAATTGACCTATTATTAGAGCATTATAATGCTGCTCATAATAACAGGCAGTGGGTCCAATAGATGTTGGCTGGCCTGAGTTCACTTGAAAAAGCAGGGCAAAAACCTATATTGATAGACCCAAAATTGATGTTGGCAAGAAGATACCAAGGCAATCCTTGGCACCGAGTTGTGTCGTTCTTATGCAATAGCTTTATTGGCGAAACCTTTCCTCTGCTTCAGCTACATCTGGAAGAAGGCTTCTTATTTTTAGCCTCGCTGTTGGAAAACTTCTTGGCAAGCCGCATGGAAACATGGCCAAAGAAACGACAGGATGCGAGTGTTTAGCTGGGAGTTGGATGCCTTGCTTACAAAGCTGGGATGACAAGAAGATGACCAGCAGGCTTCAAAAGCCACGTCCGCCCGCAGGAATCTCTGTGCTTTTGAGGGCCAGCGGCAGGCATCCACATGGTGGATCTGTAAGAGCGATCCTGGAGGAGCTTGAAGTAAGGGACTGGCTTCCAAGAAGCACTTTGCAACTTAAGAGACAGTTTGGTGTAGTGGTTAGGAGCGTGGACTTTAATCTGGGAGAACCAGGTTTGATTCCCCACTCCTCCACATGCAGTTGCTGGTGTGACCTTGGGTCAGTCACAAGTTCTTCCAGAACTGTTCTCTCAAGGGCAGTCCTCAAAAGAGCTCTCTCAGCCCTACCTACCTCACAGGGTGTCTGTTGTGGGAAAGAGAAGGGAAAGGAAATTGTAAGCTGCTCTGAAACTCCTTCGGGTAGTGAAGGGCTACCAAATCTAATCTCCTCCTCCTCCTCTTCTTTTTCTTCTTCTTCCTCTTGTTCCTCTTCTTTCTCTTCCTCTTCTTCTTCCTTGGGCTTGACTTGGGTGGTGATGGTCCAGCACCAAAACTTTCAAAAGTAATATTGACAGTAAATACATAGCAAAAAGCAAGGAAGGAGTTGTTAAGAGAGGGTATACAGTCCAATAAAATTGAGAGGGTAAGAGAATTGTATTCGCTTCTGGAAATGCTATGGGTTGAAACAGTGGGCCCAAAAGGAAGCTTAACACTGGGAGTTTGTTATCGCCCACGAGATCAAAAGACAGAGGATTATAAAATTATGAATGAATAAAGATAGAGGCTACAAGAAATAACTGTGTCGTAATGGGTGATTTTAACTAACCACACATTGATAGGGTCAATATGTGTTCAGGTCAGGAAAAAGAGATTGAGTTTCTAGACATTCTCAATGACTGTGCTATGGAACAGATGGTCACAGAACCTACCAGGGGGGAGGCGATCCTGGATTTGGTCCTAAGTAATGCCCAAGACCTAGTGAGAGATGTAAAAGTGATTACACTGCTTGGGAACAGTGACCATAATGTTATTGAGTTCAACATTTGTATAAATAGGGAGTTGCCCAAAAAGACTGACACAACCACTTTTAACTTTAAAAGGGATAACTTCTCTGATATGAGGAGACATGTGAGGAGGAAACTGAAAAGACAAAACCATTGGGGAAGCTTGGAGACTATTTAAAACTACAATCCTAGAAGCTCAGAAAAAATATATACCACAGGTTAGGAAAGGCAAAAATAGGTATAGAAAAAGCCTGCATGGTTAACGAACAAAGTGATGGAAGCTGTAAAAGGTAAGAAGGATTCCTTTAAGCGGTGCAAAGCTAGTCTCAGTGAGGTTAATAAAATGGAACACAGGCTATGGCAAATAAAATGCAAGTCTGTGGTCAGGAAGGCAAAAAAAAATATGAGGAGCATATAGCAAAAAACATAAAGATCAACTATAAAACTTTCTTCAAATACATTAGAAGCAGGAAACCAGCCAGGGAGGCAGTGGGGTCCTTGGATGACCGAGGGGTAAAAGGAGTAGTGAAGGATGATAGGGAAATGGCTGAGAAGCTGAATGCATTTTTTGCCTCTGTCTTCAC